GACAAATTCAAACCTGAGTCTCCAGCATGCACAGATTGCAAGACTGTGCTCTTTGTCTGCTTATTTCAGAACTCACTAAAATAGCAGTATCACTTCACTGCTGAAATCTGAGACTTTCCTGAAGTTCATCTAAACACACCCATCAATATCTACAGAATCTGGACATAAATCTTTTCAAAACGTTGTATAAAGATGGCTTTTAAAAATTCCTTGATCATTTAAGCATTATACTTCCATTCTATTTCAGTGCCAACTCTTTTAAAGTTCATAAATACAATTTATTTCTTGGGCAATTACTTCAAATATTTCCAAGGAAACTTACTATTCCAGTAATGCAAGCAAGTTGTAGAAAGTGAACCTATAAAGTAACAGCAAAGTTGCCTTAAAGTTTCCAAAAACTTTCCTAGAAAATGACATCTCTAACATGCAGGGTATACCAAGTGCCTAGAGTATATAAACATTTTCAGAAGCATGAAAAGATGATATAAACACGCCCAACATTAATGAATTCTCCCAGTTTTTACATGCTAGGAAGTCAGAGATAATGAAGAGCAAATAATCCAAGTTTCAGCCACAGGTGACTGCTATGAGACAGATGCTAAGTGTTTCTGGCATTTTATAGACATAGATCCTTGTGTAACAGAAAGCTACGATACCATCTTAGCTTACTTATTTGTAGTTAGTCTCTTTTACTTATGGAACCGTTTTACTTTACTTATGGGACAATTATGAAACATATTTAGTTAAAAATAAAATTAGCTCCTAGGGGGATCCCCCGTCTGCTGAAGTCAAAAGAAAATGATGTGCCTTCACTTAGTCATGATGAAACTGCATGACATACGTCATACTGGATTTCAGAGCAGATAGTTTGATGATCCCTTATGAAATTGGAAACTGATTTAAGCTTGTAGAAAGTGACAGGAATAGAGGATTTTGCTCTGAACACCTACAAGAAGAACCTGCCTCTCCAAAGACTGCAGAGTTTACACAGCAGCTGGGCTGGAGTTACAGGTAGGAAACAATGCACTGTTGTAGAATAAGTTATTTTTATTCCAACACAGATTGTCCACATGGGGGAGTGCAGTTATTCTGCAATGGCTCTGCTGGTCAATTTTCCTTGTATAGTTATAGGTTTTATACAAACTTTCTATTTTTCCAACAACTGTACTTTGTTGTGTGAATGATTCAATATACGGTTTAAATTTTATGCAAGGAAAAAAAAATATATATAAGATACTGTTCTTGGTAGTAATGTTGTTGTGGCTAAATGGGGTCATAACTTGTTGAGAAAAAAGGGTTGTAGAATTGGTATAGAGTTTTGTTTCCCCCCTGGATACATGTTTGCTTATTACGCACATGGAAGTCTGTTTGCTCTGGGACATCTTACTTTAGAGTATCAAAGTGCTACTGTGGCTCCACAGGAGGAACATCACTGTCTCTTACAGCCATATCTGACCCTCATTGCTCCCTAACAGTCTCCTCACTAGCAAACAGGCATTTTCGCTCTGCAGAAATCAGAGTACTAGATCAGTCAGTAGGTTATTGCCACAATGCAAATCTGTCACTGTAGGGTTCGGCGTTCGGAAGATCTCGCGATGTCACGGAAAGTTAGAGGGTTAGTTGCAGCCTTATGATGTGTCTGTAATCCCACCTACCCTTGTTAGTATAAAAGGAATTGACTGCGCAATAAAAGGCGGAAGTTGGCGCTCACACTGTGTGTGCTCTCTGCCTCTTTCCCTGGTCCGGGCCGACCAGTGATCTAATCGCGGCACCTTGATATGCGGCGAACGCTACATGTCACTATTAAGTTCAAAGCCTTCTTCAGGCTTTTGCACCAAAGGCTAATTGCTTTCCCCACCCTGGGCTTTGCCTACAGCCAAGAGAGACAGCTTTTGGTTTCTCACCTCCTGGACCAGTGCGTTCAGTCAGCTTTGCAACACAGAAGCACTACTCAGGCATTACTCCTAAGAACCTGCTTCTGCTTCCTTCAAAAACCCCTGTGAGCAGTCATTTGAAAGTGGACTGTAAATATTAATTTTCTTTGCACTCTAGGCACTTCTGAAATGTCTACTTGAATACTCCATGTAATGCTTTGCCCTTATTTTTCCAAGCAGATTTTATTCTGCTGCAGCAGAGCAACGTATATCACGACAGGAGAGAAAAGTCTAGGTTGATTTACAAGGCTGGTGACTGAAGAGCAACAACACACAGAAAAAGCCAGAGCACTATGATGAAAGAACTCACAACTTTCCATCCATTATGATTTTTAACCAGGACAGTGAGGTTTTCTTGTTGAGCAAGTGCTTCTTTATCACATGCAAAAATAACATTTTAACAGTGAATTTGTTTTTGAAGGGAGCAAAACCACAGTGTAGTACTGAAGTAAAAGATTCTGAGTACTCTTCTGTGATCCAGACATCTCCATTGAGAATGGAATAAGGCTTTTTTTTTTGTATCTCCCTAAAATGAATAAACATGCTGAGGAACAGAAGGTAAATAAGAGAGGCACTTGACTAGAAGGCAGGTGAGAGTATCCAGAACTGGTAGGGAGCAGAAAATTGTCAAAGCTGAGGCAGGAATGAGTCCTGATCACAATGATCCTGCAGTGTAATGTACCCTAACTGAATAAATGCTTAGTCTTCACATGTTGGAAACCAAGTTGCCTCTTTTCACAAAATATGTATCTTATTATTTCAGATCTGTTTCTCTGTAGAACTGAATTAGTTGAAATAAGCTGCTCATTTCAGAAGCTGGAGGACAGTGGCCAAGAAAGGCAATGGGGCCTGAGACAGATGTTGTCACCAAAGCCATGTTTCAGGAGGAAGTAACAATTTAAAAAATAAGGTGTAAAATCTAGTATAAGATTAAGATGTTCAGAAGACTGAACCATAGCCTCAGAGGTTTTCAAGACCCAGCTGAACAAAGTCATGACCAAACTGGTCTGATCTCACAGCTGGCCATGCTTTGAGTGGAAGGTTATACTAGATGACCTCTAGTGAATCCTTCCATTCTGAACTATATTATGATTCTACACACAATTCTCCATTTGCTTAAACCTGGCTGAACAGCACTTATCTTTATAGATGAAAATTGGATGGTATGACTGTTTTTAAACTACTGAGATTCCCATGTAGAGGCATAATCTTAGTTTGCTTTTCTGGTTCCATCCTTTTTTTTAAGACATTGACTCCAGTTTCTGCTTTTGCTGCTAGTCAAACAATGTCCAAACACAGCCTGCATGATATGACAGTCTCACTACTGTCAGTAATGGACTAATTAACAGCAATAAAACTGTTCAATCTATCTGCTGCAGCTTGTTAAAGGCACAACTGTGCTGCAGCATGGAGCCAGCTGTTTTTTGGGGAACAGTGCAGGACTGCCTCACAGTAGGTTCATCTTTAATTGCAGTATGATCTTCACAGGCAAAATGAAAAGCAAGATTTTTTTCATGCAAAATTTAATTTAACAGAAATAGGTGTGTTGAGACTGTGTATCATTCAGCAGTAAATTACACCTTGCCAGTTGTGAAGGGGCAGCCACAAATTCACCTAAATATGTGGAAGGTAACACAGTTTGACTAAGTGCCTGGTGTTGCTTCCTGCTAAAGGTGAAGGATAACATTCTTGTAGATCTCCACAGTGAATTTGTGCCTTAGTGAGCAAAACAGATTTTCCAGCAATTCCAGAACTCAGGAAACTCAGTTCTTCAGAAACTACAGAAAAACACAAAGGATCTCAAGGTTTGCCTGTTCTTCATAAGAGATTGGAACTTTACCATATAATTGAGTTTATCCAAACAGAAATGAGAACGCTGGCCACAAAGCTACAGACCTTGCTCAAACCAAAGCCAACAGAAACTCAGTGCTACAACATTTATTAATGGAAGGAGAATCAAGCAATACTCAAAAGTAAGAAATTGGCTAAAGCAAGCAAGATCTCTTCATGTTTGCTTGGAACAATTTTCTATAAGTAACCTTATTCTTTAAGATGTTTGATATGTTTTCTGTGAAATCATTTAATTTAGCTGTAATTCTACTCAAGAGTTTTTTGCAAAAGAAACTGACAACGAAGTGACTTCTCAAATGACTTACTAAAGGAGTAGAAGCTTAAGAAAACATAATAAAGTTGACCTAAAGTTCCTAATACTGTACCATGTTCATCAACAGTTTATCAGTTCTTCAGAATGGTGTAAAATCATTACACTGTTTTAGACTGCAGATAGCATTTTTTCCTTTCATTATGCATCCATTTTATACGTAACTTTTCTGAACCGAACCACTAGGGTTGAACAACACAATAACAAATATCCAGTATGATACTGCATTTTGTGTCAGAGAACTGGTGTTAAATAAATTCTTGCTATGAAGGTCAGCAACTGAAGAACTTTTTAGAAAAGCTACAGCTGCAGAGTTTCTGTTTTGCTGTCTGTGCTCCAGCTGCTCCACAGGGTCCAAATCACTCCTGCTACTGACTTGACTGTCCTCATCAGTGTGACAGTGAGAGGCTGAGGAGACCCAAAGTAGCTGCTAAGTATAATGAGGGGTTAAAAAAGAAAAGACTGTGTCTTTGGATGTGTCAGTCTCCCTACTGTTAAGAGAACAAGGATGTCTTTATAGTTACATTACCACCCTGCACCTCCATGTGGTTAAATTATTTTTGATGAAACCAGGGATACAGGGAGAAAATATGAATTTTATTATGATTTCTACTTCTTGCTCTCCTTTGAAAGGATTTTCAAGTGGGGTTAAGGAAATAGGAACAAGGGCTAAAGCCCCAAACCAACTGTTTTGACCATTCTTGCCCAATTTCTTTACTGAAGTGAAATGGGACAATGATGTGTTGCTAGTGATCACAATTGAGGTGTATGTTCATGTGAATGCATGCATATAAGACCTAAATATAACAACCCCTAGTGTTGAATAACCTATAGGCAATGTTTTTGGATGTCCTTTGAGCACAGCTGCATACCCACGCAAAAAATAGAAAAATCCGTTTCTTTACCTTTGGAGTTTACTGCACCAGCTGCAGTTGAAACCAATCTGGGCAGTGACACAGGGACCACAGCTGGCAAACTGGAGACAAGCTGAGATATAGATAAACAAACAGAAATTATTACATTAGTCTCACAAATAATTCTCATAAAAAGCAAAAAAGGATACATCTTCTGATAATACATATTTAGGGACTCAACAGGTTCATGCATATCCAAAGTAAGACACTAAAACCAGCCTATTACAATGCATTGCACAACCCTAAGCACAGAAGTACATTTTATCTGTAGGACTCCATTTGTATTCCATTTGTAAATATATTCCCACTTCCACATCTGTTCATTCAGTTTCATTGCTAAATTTTTATTTTTTTGCTTAATATTAAGTATTTCCTTAAATCTCTTTCTTCCCTCGCTCCAGTGTTCCTTGGTGTTGCTAACATTCAGACATAATGCAGATAATAAGACTGGCAAGAAAGCATGCAAGAACTATAATTGGATTAGAAAAAAGAAAAATAGCTGTTTCCATTTTTTCACAATAGTACAGCTGGCAGTTTAAACACAGAGGTTTCTAAACAATGTAGTTTTACCTTGGACAAAAGAGGCAGATGAACTGCAAAATGTGTTTGGTGATATTCCCTTGGAATGTGATGCACAGTACACAGAAGAATTTGTGTTTGCCTTGTAAGCATGAAAACTGTTCTTTTTTTCTTGAGGAAACAAATTTAAAGGAAATATAATCATTCTTCTGAAAAAATGATTTGGCACAGATTTCATTCAAAACCTACTGGGAGCTATATACCTATAAAGTAACTTGAGATACATGAGGATGCACTGGATAACACATCATCCATGGGGGAAAAAATCTGACAGAGGATAAATGAATCTGTCCATGATTTCAAGTCCACAGATAAAACAAAATATTTAAAATTGCCTGTGTGTTGCTAGGTGGGGGGTCCTTCCCAGATCTGGTTCCTGCCTGTGTTATGTTTTACTTACTTGGAAGAGGTATCATTTCAACAGCTGAGAGATTGGTAATCTTTGACATCTGTAGCTCCACCCTGTGGTACTCATAAATTGTTCTTCTACGGACATCTACCAGGAAAGAAAAAGAAAAATATTTCCACAATTTACTATTTTGCAGTCTGTAGATTGTGAAAAACAGTGGATGTAATGATTGCTCACTGTTCCTTAGGTGCACACATGGCACCAGTTTTTCTCAAGAATATTTTTTTAACTTTAGACATTGTGAAGGAACATGTAAAAGGTATAGATAGAGAATTTTTCACTTGAGAAACCATCAGAGCTGACAGAATAGGTACCTATTCCCGGTAAAGGATTATTAAAACGCTGAGTGTTCTCTCAAGCATCTTAGTCATTCATTTAGGCAGAAAAGTATACTGTCAGACATTTTAGGGTATATTTCAGATGCTTGCTTTCCTAAGACATTTCTCAGCTTACAGACTTGAGAGAAATGCTTTATATGCTCACTTTGTCAGTTGTTGTCAAGATGTGCAAAGAAAACTGATTTCATTGCTTAATCAAATTTGTTAGCTACAAGCTAGCTTACATCTAAATGCACTAGAACATTTTTTTCATATTATACCATTAAAGAAGACAAGACTTCCTAAACACCCAATGTTATGCATAATCTTTACCCAAGCTGACTGCACCTAAGTTTCTCAAAGCAGAAATTCAATATAGTCAATGCACCGTTCTTAGGGGCTTTGAAGGCATAGATAAGTGTAAGACCCAAGCAAAAGATAAGTGTGAAAAAAAATCACATAATTGTTAGTTTCCAGATCTATATCCTATCATGTATTCTGAATATTCCAGATTTTAAGTGCATGGCTGTGATGGAGACCGTCAAGCTTGTACATTTGCAAATTAAAAAGTACAGCCTATTCTGCCAATCTAACACAATAATGATGATTTCCTGGTGTGCTGGATTCAGATTTATGTCCTTTTTGAAGGCCTGTTAAACTAATTGAAATCAATGCTAAATACAATCACTGACCCTGTGGAATCATGCCAGAGAGGGATAAAGGGATACATACAAGGGATTAACAGGTTACTCTGGTCAATGGCTGGTCTGAGTCTACATGCAACAGAAGAAAAGGAATTGCAGACAGCCACAAACTCAATCTTAGGCGGTCTTCTGTGTTGCCAGCCCTGTATGGATCAGGGCATACCTTGTTGCTTGGTATAAAGGCTGGGTTTCTGCAGCTTGAAGTGGGCTCACGTGGGCTCCCCAGCTGTTAAGCGTAGCACCACATCCGAAGTGAGTTTTGTAATCTCTTGTCAGGAGGGAAGTTGTAAGCATTTTTCAGACAGAAAATGGAAGCTCAACTAAAATCAATCAAGTAATAAATACTAATTTTTAAGGGAAGAGAGAAAGCACACTAAGGTGTCCTGTGGCTAAGTTGCCTCTTGGCTCAAGCAGACGAGACTTTCTAAGAAAAGAGGGATGGCCAAGCTCTAAAAGCACAAGCACAGGAAGCTCCCTTACACCACACAGAAAATAACCATCAGACTATTGGTGTCAGTTGGAATTAACAGGGTCATCTCTGAGGAGGGATGAGGAAGCAGAAGCAGAGCTGTGCTGGGTGGGATAACTCCTGCATCAGCCAGCATTGCTGCAGGTGAAGGAGCTTCTCTGCCCTCTCTCACTGCATAAGCTCCCAGGAACAGGTAGGCAGTGTCTGGCTTTCAGACAATAATATTTCTATTTAGTTCCAAATCAGCACCTTTGCCAAGCAGTTCCTCTTGCCATTTATTTGAAGCTGACTTTGCTATGGCTTCACCCTTTCTGATCACAGATTTCTCTTTTGGTATGAAATGCACCTAGAGTTGAGGTAGTTTTAGGTTTTAGCTGCAAAGTCACTCTGACTAGTTAAAAGACAGATATGGGGATGTGCCAAATATTTACCCCAATAAATGCCTTAGCCATGTCCTTCAAACCCACCGGACAGAAAGGGTTTTCAAGACAAAGCTAATCTTATGCTGGGGTGGGGAAAATGTTTTGCCAGCAATGAGAGGTTTATGCTCCCAGGATGGTAAGTCCCATAAAAGCACCTGCCAAATCAGAGTGATCAGGAAATGTGTTTGAAATGAACTCCTGCCAATGCTGAAGGCTGTAATTTGTTTCCACGGAAATCTTTATCCTTCTGTCCAAAAAAATAAGCAAATGAATACATAAATTAAAATGGTGGGTGTTGGCACTTTAACTGAACTCCATTTCATCTCATCAGTAGTGGTACAGACTGGCATGCTATAATCCTGTTTACTCTGAACCTTTCCTAATAGACTCCTCATAGGGCTTACAAGAAGTGAGGAGCTTCTGGCTTTCCAAAAATCCAGTAAGAATCAGTGACTCAGGTCACAGGCACTTTTATCTTACCCGGTGCATGATATTTCTAAAAAACAATGATTTTAAGAGAATTAAGTTTGTTATAAGAAAAAAAAAATTCTAATAATGCCTAATTCAGCATGACTCTTGATCCCATTAAATCCTACTGCCTGGTAGACTCAGGTTTGATCTTTTCTTGTTCAGGAAGAAGACTGTGCCAACCACGGGTGGTGAGTTTGCATATGAGGGATCCATCTACTGTAAGAAACCTAAGCACAGAGAGGTATTTGCATAGTCACCTTCTAACAGCTTTGTATACACTTGCAGGCAGGTGGTTGGAAACACGAGCATCCAAATTTATCTGCCTGGTGTAGATTCCTTTGAAAGTCTGACTTGAAACATGCCATGCTTAGCTCCTCAAAATGTACTTTTTCCTTCCTATTTAGAATTCTGAGCCTGTATCCCCTTAACAAAACAGGTTAGAAAAGCTAAACTCAACAGGATAAACAGAAAAATTAATACTCTCCCCAGACACTTTCCCCCTCAACCCCTCCACACACACTCCTGCTCCAACCCAAGACACATACTGCCTTTCACTCAGGTGGAACTTGTTCTTCTTTGTCTTATGCGGTCTATTTAGCTCTTTTACAAACAAGTGCAAGGGCAGAGTCACAAAGAACTTATGAGCCCATGTATTTCAGTATGCACTTTAACTTGACACAAACCAGTGAAATAATTTGATGTAGTAACAAACAAAAATTTAAGCGTCATTTGCAGGTATTTTGCTGGAAAGAGGCATTACATCAAGTCTAACAGGGAAGGGAAGAAAGGAGAAGGACTTTTTGCATGCATATATGCTTTTGAAGTACCATTCCTGGTTCTGAATTTCAGAAAATATGTATATATTCTTCTCCTAGTCATGAAAGTATTTTACTTTTCTGTAGGTCTGAGTATCTCAAACACCCTTTTTAACCAAATGATATAATATTTTTTTCAATAACAGATTCTATTTTTTTACATTTGGTTTAATTTACAACACCCTCCGAATTGTTCTTTGGTTTGATTCTGTGGCATGTACATGTGCTGTCTTTGAATACAAGGACAAAGATACAGTCCCAGCAGAAAAAGCTGAAGAAAACACCAGCTACTTGAGGTAAGTACATTCCTCAGTGACCTAGAGAGAGAATCTGGGGGGTCAGAAGGCCAATTGAAAGAATCCCTTCAAGGGATTAAGCAACTGATTGGTAAATTATAGATGTGCAAGATTCTGGTGTAACAAAACACTTCTATGTAGTTTTATCACATGTCTATGTAATTTTATCACAGTAGTTTTAAACTGAATAATGACATATAAATATTCTGTGAAACAGAACTGCCAGAGTTAACTAAACGTACTAGGTAGGGAGAGTGCTCTGGAGATGAGCAGTGCCAGAATAGCACCAGTGACTTCCTAACATAGCTGAAGGCTCAGTAGCTAGTAATAAACCATGCTAAATACATGTCCAACAGATGCACAATCTCTCTGGTACTTTTCTGTCACATAATCACTTTTCCTAATACAGCATTCCTCAGCTAAAACCTGCAACCCAGTGAAATGTGAAAACATTGGAGAAGTCAGTGTGATTTTTTAAATTATATGTTCACACAAATAAAAACCTTTGTCAGTGAAAGATTTCTAGGGAATTGAGATCAGCCATATACCCAGCAAAAACTGCTAAACAAGGCCATATGTATTCATACAGCTGCACTTTCATTTTTTAAGTTTCGCTGATAGAGAAAACACAAATGGTAAGAGGGTGCATTTGATTATGCAGAAGTCAATTTAAAGCAAACAATTTAAGAAACATATCCAGCTTACATTGCAAGCCATTTGTGAAAAATATAAGGGATACAGAAGGGTGGGGCACAGCTGCTGTACCATGCAGCCACTGGCTTTGCTTGATGGGGACTTTGTTTAGCACCACTGGCTGAATAAAACCTTCATGTAAATATATATTTTGCCAGCCTGGTGTGTCTGATTGCCATCACCACAAAAGGTAAGGGAATCAGAATGTCAAAGCAATCTTTGTTCTTTCTTTTTAACAGCTTCATATTGCTAAACTTGTCAGTATTAACTAATTAATTCTTGAGGCACTGACACTGGGATCAAACATGCCTGTAATCGAACGGCCACCAATTGCTGTTGGTCATTCACTATTACATATGTCTGAACCTAGATCAAAATTCAGATTCCCTAATTGTATTAATTTTGTCATTCTCTTAAAAGTTGCTAAAAAAACATGCCTTATCCCCTTAAGGCACCGTGCACCGAACTGCCTAATTCTGAGACTGGTCAATGGCCAGTTGAGGCTTTGGCTAAAACAAGAACACTTTAAAGTTTGATCACCTTGTACCCATCCCTGAAGTGCTGTTATGCCACCAAAGATTAGCAGCATGCCCATCTCTTTCACTCTCTGCTCCTGAATCAGGCACCTACTGCCAAGGAACCCAGCTGCCTGGCTAAATCCTTTTGGGCCAGCAGACAAACACGCAGGGCTGGAGGAGCTGGCACTCTGTGGAATTGGTTACACTAGTGGAAAGCAAGAATAAATACTGCTTATTTAGAGCAATAACTTTGGGGCCCACTTTGCACAGAGGTAAATGACAACCTTATCAGTAAGGCAGCAGCAAATTAGACTTTGCCATTTCCTAGATGGTGTTGCACCTTTATACAATAGATGTCACAACAAAAACTGCTAGTCTTCTTTTACCCTTCAGGAAGGTAATGCTAAGGTTCTTTCAGGGGCCTCACTCCTGCAAACAAACTGGAGAGAAATCTTCAGCAAACAGTTATAACACGCAGAGTTGTCACTTAATTATATGCTTGAGTTACGCTACATATTGAGTGGCACTAATTGCACTGAAACTGGAATATTACTAACACATAGCCCAGCTACAATTTCATTTGTGTACACAGTGTTGTTGAGTAATTTCAGTCTCATTAAATGTTGGGTTGTCAAGGTATGGATTTCTTAAAAGAGCTGTACCTAATATAGTAGAGGCCAAGATCATGGCGAAGTATGTCTCAGTGTGGAGAAAAACAGCCATTATCTGTAAGTGCAAGACTAGTAACTCACTGTGTAGACTCCCTGTATCTGGCACTTTCTCATTTTACCAGGGTGTTTCATGCTGTCGTGGAAAACAAAGCCCAACCTGGGCAAGCTCACTGGTGGGCTTTTTCATTGCTGAAGTAAAATATTGGGATGGAGGAAATGCCTTTTCATTTCTTCTTCATGCACAATAAAAAGCTAATTGAAGACAAAAGGGAAGAGAGCACTGAAACAAAGGAGAGAAATGTAGTAACCCTGAAGGAAAGATGTAGGGGAAGAAAGATGGTAATGAAATTAGAGAGAGGTCTTGGGAGTCTGCAGAAGGGAGAGCAAAGGACACTGTAGGTGACTGAAAGAAGGATCAAGAACAGAATGCCAAGGATGGCTGAGAAAAAGCAAGAAATAAGAGGGAAGAGAAGGTGGGACAGGGACAACGTTCCTGACACAGTAAAGATGCTGAAAAAAAGGGAGGAGAGAAGACTTGTTGGAGGAATATATAAAGCTATCTCCCAGCTTTGTCTTCACCAGTCATGTGTTGTCTAACTGGAAGACATCCATTAAACATTCTTAGGGTCTTTGTTACAAAAGGAAAAATGGTTAATGTACAAGCGTTCAGCCTGTCTGAAGAAGAAGAAATCAGGGTGCTCCCTCTAACTTATTGAACAAATCAGAAGCAGTGGTGGTCCAGAGTCTGGCTCACTTCACTTGAATTACCTGGAAGAAGCAGAAACTTTTCCTCTGAAATTAATTGATGGACTTATTTTGCCATTTTGCTGCCGTATAAGCCTCAGAATTTAGGACTTTTCTTGTTAACCTTAGTGTCAAGCAAAAATTCGCTTCCCTTCACGCATTACCATTCATTCCAAAGCACTTCTGGAGTATATACAGCCATATGTATCCATACATATATATATATAAAAAATATAAAATAGTGGCCAATCTGCATCAACATAATAGTACCACATATAGGCTCGAAAAGAAAGACATTGTCTCTATATAAGCAGTAGTAGCAGATCAAGAAAAAAACCCATAGAAAACAGGCAGAAAGCCACCTGCCAAAAATCTTCCATCCCTGTGCTCTAACTCTTAAAAGATAAGGTGAACAAATGTAGATGTCTGTATTCTTTTAGGGACAGATAAAAGGGGTATTACTGCAAAGCCTTTATATGTAGGAGTATTTTAACAAAAATAGGTATGAAATGCTCAAGGTCCCCCATTTAAAAAAGTTCAGCAAATCCTTTCTTTTTGCTCTTGGTTCTTCAATAAGATCCTTTTCAACACTCATTAAAATGCAGTTTTGAAATGAAATGGCTGATCAAAAAGCATGTTTTTCTCTCCTCAGTATGAAATAGTTTTGCCTGGCTTTAGAACTCATCTTTCAGAAATATTAAAAAAAGTTATTACTAATGTTTTGGACAGTATGTCTGAAAAAATCTGATAAATAGTTCTAAATCTTCCAAAATTAGTTCAATAAAACTAGGACTATTATACTGAAATTTTAGAATGCTGAGCATACAGAGTGCACTGAAGACACTCAGCATTTATGAAAATTGAGAGGATTTTTTTGTTCAATTAGGCTTGTGTTGCACTTAATGTCTCTTTCAAATGCAAGATATGTACAAAAATAACTGACAAAACTCAAACATGGAGAAGTAGAGTTGGGTTTTTTTTAGTTTGATTTGGGTTTGTTTTTTTTTTTTATAACTAGCCATGAACATCCAGGGAAACTGGGTTCTCTTGATGGAAAAGTCTTTGCTAAAGTGGTAAGCAAGAACTAATAGCTATACTGTTTTTGCTAAAGTTCTAAGCAGGAACTAGTAGTTATACTATCTTTGCCTTCTTTTGGGACAAACACCAATTTATATTCTTCCGTTGTCTTAAGGAGCTAACAAATAAAGTAAAACAATTCTATCATATCACTTTTACAGTAATTGACTAGAGCCATGGTTGATTTAACATCTCTGAAAAACAAGAATGCAAGAACATGCATATTTTAAGAGCATCTGCAGTGGCTCTCTGTGGGCCAACATTATTTACCAGTTCTGTCAGGGTGCTATTACGTTGCCTGTACATACTAATATAAACCTGTTTCATTGAAAGCACAATTTAGCTTCAGGAAAATCTACTGCGAATTGATGGTTCCCTTGATTAATACTAGCTCTACTGAAAGCTGGAAACTAGCAAAAATAATTATGAATTACCACCATCCACAGAACCAGTTGTTAAGGAGAAAAGCAGTGCGTTGCACACATTAATACAGAAATAATGCTACCATAACAGTTGCTGCAGTGGCACATTTTAGACTACCCACCTTCTATTCTTCTTATCTCCCACTCCTTAATGTAACTTAATGAACGGAGTAAGTTTAAGATGAAACACTAGACAGATTTTCTGCTAATTACAGTCACTTCACTTAGAAAGTGTCGTGACAAAAAGGTTTACAGAAAAACTAAAACCAGAAGACTAGTAAGTAACTGTGTATTCATCAAAACCAATGTTACTTAGTGGTAGTAGTGGTCTGAAATATTGTTACAGAAAGAAACATTTGAACTAAAATAAAGACTCACATATACTATATATATTACATACAAAATACGTACATCCAAAATAAGTCCTTTAGTGTTGTTTGATGATGGAGGCTTGATGCCAAAAGATCTGCGTACTGCTTGCATCTCTTACATTAAATTTCTGTGTGACTATTCTCATAAATCATTTGCACAAGTCAATCAACCTAACTTCTACCTGAATCCATTTTAGGAGCTCTTACAAGCTGAAGACTCACAGAAATATTCAGATCATTCACTTACAAACATCACTCAAATTGCTAAAATAGGTTGCCTGGATTCATTTGTTCCTAAGCACTCAAAAGCAATCCATGCGACCACAGGCATGTCACAACTATCTATCATACTTCAGAAACAAATTTCTTCCAAGACCTGATCTTTTAAGTGAAATCTGGGCATGCCAACCTCCTTCACACTACTCTGAGTTCACAACAAGCAACAGATGGTGCTGAAATTTTTCATCTTCCCCATGGCAGGACATACAAGACATAGGATTTATGGTCCCTCATATCGAAGACTGTTTAAATGTGATGAGGGGATAGGATGAGCTGAGAGGCAACGGTACTTTAGTGTCAGCCCCATCTGCAGGCTGCCTTAAAGATGGGCTGGGTCAGGACAGTCCTTATGAGCTTTAGCTGTGCCGCACCTCTGTCAGGGTTCACTTCACAAGAATATGCCTGGACTCAGCCCTCGGAGGCTGGTTCAAGAGCACCTCCTTCCATCTACACCCTGCTATTAAGGGATCATAAAAAATTGAACTCAGTAAATTTGCTCTAAATGTGTAAATAAAACCAGAAGACTTGGAAAGTGAGCATACTCTCTAACGGCTAAACAACCTCAAAGGGTTCTGTACACAGTATGTTAAAACAAAGCATTGAGGAAATTACACTTGACTTCAGTCAAGTCATATAAAGTATAATTAAAGCCAGAGAAAATTAAGTGTCACCTGCATTACTGTTGCCACGACTATGTGAGCCCAAGATGTTATTTAATAACTACATCTCCTCTTCTTTTCTCTCACTAAAATGTATATATGAATTTGAAGTTCAGAACGTAAAATATTCTCTTTCTGGATACAGATTTTTCTGAACAGGTTGCTTCTTCCCTACTATGGATATAGAGACATATTCCAGATAAAGTATCTTATGGAATACCAAATTGTGCTGGTTGACAGTTTAATTTCATATTATTTGGCTGGCCATATAGGTTTATTTACTTAATTTATCAGCTCAAAAGAAACAATGACAGAGAAAGCCACACTGGGAATTATCAAGCAAATAAAATTACACTTGAATTAACAAGCTGAAATTAGCTAAGTGATTTGTTGTGCAGCTAATCATCCTTGATGAAATCAGCTTATACTTGTTTCTCAGCCTCCAAACCATTAGCACCACTACATTTCTACATACTGGGAATTTGCTGGATCCTGTGCACAACCACAAATGCATCTGAGAGTCCCACTTTCACTGGGTGGTTCGTTGAACTTATCTGTGTCACAGCAACAGGAATCTGGAATACAAAACAGGAAGATATACATGAACTATCAAAGTAAAAAAATTCAGACTAAAAATAACAGCACTGCCAGAATGAACATTTAACCTGTGTAAATTAAAGTCCTAGATAAGTATTTTATACAATACAGCATAAGATGACTAACGATTTATTAAAGATTGAAATTACTGGTTTTAGTTTTTATTTTATCCTTGTTTGCTTTGCTTCTTATGTAACAATATTCACATTGACACTTAGAGGTGGAACAATTGTTAATGATGAAACAGAAAAGGGCAGTAATTTTCAGTAATTTATTTCCCCCAGTTGAAGAAAAAGTGGGACATGCTAGTATCAGACAAGGAGGAGGAAGCAATACCTCTTTTCTACTATTGAACACACGAACTGTGAAAGTTCAGCTTGAGATGAACATTTTAAAAGCTTATGGCTCAGTTAACTTGCACTGAAAACTGTTTGAAGAGCTACCTGAAGGGAGCTCTGGCCCAAGGATATTCATGTTTAATGTGTCTTGGACTAGCAGGAAAATTATCAGTGTCATGGAAAATGTGGAAAATGCCAGATGCTCACTTGCCAATATCTAGAGGAAGAAATAAAAAGACTTAGATAGCCATAGACCAGTCCAGCTTTACATAACAGAGATATTGATGCTGGGCAACAGGGTTGTGTGAAAACAGATGCCAAGTTTGACTTCATTCTTTGGGCAAGATTGCATCTTTGGCTGATACTTGTGTAGATAATAGCTTTAGAATTTTGTGAGGTGTTTGACTTAGTGACTTGTAGCATTTATACAATATTAATATAGTTAAGTAGACTGACTGATCACAAACAGCAGACACACTAAAGCAGCAACTCAGACTGACAGTGCGTCTTTACAGTGTATCTTTCTTCTCCAGTCATCAGACCTAGTATTCAAAAGTTGGAAGGGAAGGAAACATGAATTTACTGTTTAGCAGTTCTGCAGATGACACTGGTACAGTAAAAATAATGAAAGGCCGGGATCAATTAGCAAAGTTAGACCTTGCAAAAATTGCAAAGTTATAACTCAGAGAAAAAAAAGCGCAAGATAGGGGTTTGGGGACCATGCTCTAAAGCAGCAGTTCTGGAAGGGATCTCAGTGTTGTAGTGGATGAACAACTCTGGCTGTCAGAAAGGACATGGCAGCAAGAAAACTTAATTGATGTAATATTTGGTTACACAAACAGTGAAATACAGCCTAGGAATGGGGTGGCCATTTTACTTGTACCTGCACATTAGAACATTAATGAAATGTTACACATACTTTGGGGGGATATATTTCTTAACAAGATGCTGAAAACTTAAGAGAAGGAAGATTAAGTGAGTCATAAAAATATTTTGAAAACTTCTGCAGGTCTCAAATGCCATTAACAGAAGGGTTAAAGAGCTATCCTGGTTTCAGCTGGGATAGAGTTAATTTTCTTCCTAATAGCTGTTATAGTGTTATGTCTTGGGTTCAGAATGAGAATAATGTTGATCACACACTGATGTTTTCAGTTGTTGCTAAGTCGTATTTATATTAAGTCAAGGATTTTCCAGCTTCTCATGCCCAGCCAGCAAGAAGGCTGGAGGGGCACAAGAAGTTGGGAGGGGACACAGCCAGGGCACCTGAACCAAAATGGCCAAAAGAGTATTCCATACCATGTGATGTCATGCCCAGTATATAAACTGGGGGGAGTTGGCCTGGGGCGATCGCTGCTTGGGAGCTAACTTGGCATTGGTCAGCAAGTGGCGAGCAATTGCATTATGCATCACTTGTTTTGTATATTCCAATCCTTTTATTATTATTGCCATTTTATTATTGTTACTATTATAATTATTAATTTCTTCCTTTCTGTTCTATTAAACTGTTGTTATCTCAACCCACGAGTTTTACCTTTTTCCTTCTGGTTCTCTCCCCTATCCTACTGGGTTGGGGGGAAGTGAGCGAGTGGCTGCGCGGTGCTTAGTTGCTGTCTGGGGTTAAACCATGACAAGAGCTCTATTTGGCTTCTCAAAGGGAAAATGGAAAGCTGGCTAGATTACCATAAACAAGTACTGCCATGAGGAGAAATTACTCAGGGGCTAAAGAGTTTTTTCATCTGGCACAAAAAGATATAACCAGAAGCTGGAAGCTGCTCGAAGTAGAATAAGCCCCATGTTTCTATGATTGAGTGTTATTAACCACTGGGATAAACTACCAAGGGAAATTATGATTCTCTACTCATTGCTGCTTTCAAATCGCAGTTGGATATCTTATTTTTCTGAGTTGGCCTTCAGTTAACCAAAAATTACTAGGCTAAAGACAGATGAAACTGGGTCAAATGTAAGAAACTGAGATACAAGGTGCTAGCTCAGCTAATCTTATAGTCTGTTCTGGCTTTACCTGTGTAAAACTACCAAAATTATACTGTTGGTCAGTATTTTTCACATAGCAGAAAAATGCCGAAGTAAAAAGCTGGTTACACATCCAGTGAATGAGGATTCAGTGTTCTCTACATGCCAATTAATGGCATGACTTCTGACATTTGAGCATCAGTGGTCCTTCTCCTTGTTCCCAAAATACCATTTAGCTGTGCTTTTTCCTGATTACACTGGTAGCTGTCTAGGAAAAGTTAAATTTGAGAATATTAACAGAAAATTGAGTTCTGGTGAATTAAACAGTGTCATAAATTTCCATTTCTTTTACTTGATTTAGTGACTGGTTTAGCTGATTTATTAGGGGTTCTTGCAGACATGATCTGCTTTGGTATAACAAAAGGAATGATGTTAAACAAACATGAAAAACAGAAGTGGCCTGCAAATACTGCTAGTAATACATCAGTTTAAATCTGGCTTATATCAGCTTAGCTCTGATGCAGTTATTGGAGAATATGACATAAGAAGGCTAAAAGACATATTTTCAAAGTCTTCAAAATAAAAGACTCAGTGAGTTCAGAAATAAGTCTATAAACATTCTCCAGCATGAAAGTATAAGCAAAATAAGGGAATTATTCACAGTCTCGGAATACTGTAGAGAAAAGCTTATATTAACTACCAAAAAAACAGTCTTAAAAGATTTTGAGGAGTATACTCTAGAGAAGCTATTGGTAACCAAGTTAGAAAAAGCACTGATGAGAAGGATGCAATGACTATTTCTCTTTGAAGTTAGAAACACAGCAGATGAAGAAAGGAATGAGTTTTATGGACACAAAATGTAGTTGGAATTGACATTATGAGTAGGTGTGTGACCAACAAAATATGCTGGCAAAATTGGCAGCTCAAGACACAAATTGTGCCTGATACATGAAAAGAATTATACTCATTTTTACATGTGAGTGCAAACCAGGAGAAGTTCCACTTGGGTCTCCTTGAATAAGCCTCCTTAATTTTAAGTCAAATGCCTTAGCACACATTTTTTCTGAATTTGTGAATAATTGAACAATTTGCATATTTCCCTCAAAAATTATGACAACAGCAAACTAACTTGTCTTTTTTTTTCAGGAAAGAGTGATGGGTTCTTGCAGTACAAATGCCACAAGTGGTTTGTTGTTTGGGTTTTTTAATAAATTTATTTTCATTACAACTTGGTTCAGAGCTTGAAAGTCACTTTCAGTTTCACTATCTAATAAAATTATGAATGACCCAGTGATATTTGGTACTAAAATAGGATGCAGTAGCCAAGTTGAACAGAAAATACAAACAAAAACTTGAGGAGAAATTAGAAAATTTTGGAGCAGAAATATCTCAATAGATTTTGCCAAAATCCCTTCAGGTGTCCACACTCTTGTGCTGGATATTCTAGCAAGAGTGAAGAACTTGCGGAATCATTTTCTAAAACAAATAAAAAAGTTGTAGTAGGGTCCAGACTAACAGAAGAAGCAGCCAAAAATTTGGATATATGTTTTGGAAACAAGGTTTAGAAACAAGTGTTTGTGTAAGGTGAGGAAAACATAAATTAAGTTAGTATAGCCAGCTCTTCAAACTGAGGTACAGCCTGTCAAACAATTAGTAATATGGACAGAAATGCAGTCAAAGTAGAAGGGAATCCATGACCCAGGAAAATTCTTTTATTCTCTTGGAAAAACTACAGCATTATTAAACCTGTATTTACAAAAACATATGTTTATTTTTAAAGCGTGGAAAAGAAATAATTTTACAGAACTGAATACTTCATTCACTTGGTGATGAGTGTACTGAGTGTGATTATGTAGTGAAATCTTTTGAATGAGATGTCAAGATAAAATGAGCTTTTACCGTATGGTGGCCTATTAGAAGATATGCCCTTTTGACAGAAGGCTTGTAGTAAAACCTAAAATAATTTATTAAAAATTACAGCAAAACATAGGTAGCAAACAGATAGCTGATGTTCCAAATTCCTCACCTGAATGGCAAGATATGTCATGACAGGCTGACATGTTAAACAGTTGAACAGTAAGCTAGGAATGTGCAAGTGGTTGCTAATGCGTGGCAGGGGTTTTATGGCATTATGTTCAGAGGATGGATTTTAACTAGAATCATTCCAAAGTGTGTGTTAGCTCTGCCATAGACAATATGAACTCTTGTGTTGTACAAGTCACCAGTTTATGAATAAGCTTCCCAAATGCACACTAGTGCTGGGGCCATTGACATCTATATTTTGGATTATATACTTCAACAACAGGGAGAAAAATATTTAGAATTCATGGTGAATTCTATTCATCATTGGCATCAGTAATCTAGACAGTATTTCCCATCAGAGTTCTCAGATTTTATTCTTTTCAACTTTGAGGACATGTCAGAATCTTACCTTCAAACAAGAATAAAATAATGGCCTCTGACCTTATTCTGAAGGAGGTGGTAAGCAGGGTGCAATTACCGCCCCACTTCAAAACTGAGTCAAAGAAAAGAGCCAGAGTATGCTGCAAAATAATAATACAATAGTACTTATATAGGATTTTCATAGCCAGTTTCCTAAAGAGTTATTAATTAATCTACAGGCCAAACTGCATGAAACTTATTCGGGACTTTTAAGTTGCATAAACTGATCACCTCATAAAATCAAAGATCCTGTTTCCATGTTAATATTTTTGATAAGAATAGCAGAGGGAAAGAAATGCCAGGCATGTATAATGCAGGCAGAATATCCACGAAAACTGTGCATTTTTTTTAGTTTTCAGGAAAGAATCACAAGGTTTGGAGTCTTGTTACTGAAAACAGCGTATTTTCCATCATGCATAGCAGGAGGATCAATTTTATCTAAGTGCTAGCACTTAATCAGTTCCATTCAATTCTGCCTCCTTTCACAGTAGCAAGAAATTCTACTACAAGTCTCAGAATTATTTTCCAACTTCGCATACTGGGCAATTTGAACAAGCATTTCAACTTTAATAATGGTTTCTGGATTACTACATAAATAGTCATTACTATTTAAATGAACAAAGAAAGCCTTCAAGCCAATGAAATTAAGACAAATATCCTAAACCATTAACAAAGCCTTTGGTACCTTTGCCTAATTTGTCCTGTATTAATCATGGGCAGAAAAAGAAGCCAAATGTTACCCTAAGGAAAATTAGCTATAAGCACTAATGGGAAAAGACTATATAGAATTGTTATTTTGTTAAAAAGAAGAAAAGCTCTGGAAAATTGAACTTCTGTGAAACTTAGAACATAAGAAATGAGTATTCACTACCAATACATAAAAAAGTATGCCTTTCCAGAAAATTTTCTTTATTACTATGTTATGTTGGTTAGTTTGCACTGTAATGTATTTTATATGTAGTAGAGGTGCACCAGTAAAATTTTCCTGCCAGTTGATGCTTCCTGACATATTGACCATTTGCCAGAACACTAACAGTTGGTGTAAGCAAAGCGATATTTAAAATGGAAGCTGTATGCACTGTAAACAAAGTAAATTGGTAAAAAAATAAATATTTGACTTGCTATAGGACCTTGCTATATTTCAAATTGTTTTTACATTTTGAAAACTTGACTGTACAGCTCCTTCTCCCACCCATTAACTCTTCTGAAAGATATTCTGGTGTCTCCAGATTTCACTATCCTGGTGGCTCAGCTCCTTTTCTAAATTTTTATTTTTTCAGAATCTATTCTGGATTTTGGATAAAAATTGTGCATTTCAGGCTGCTTCCTATTGGGCAAACAATGGAATGCAGAAGATTGAGCAGAACAACTCCTTTTATACTCAGCAAACCTCAGCCAAGATCCTGCCTTGGTGGTCCACACCAGATTTATGAGGTAGCAAACCTGATGCAGGAGCAGGAAGGATATGAAACAGGGAATCTCAAATGGTTTGAATAACCAAGAAATAAAAGGTAGAATTTACCTGAAGTGCTTTAGACATAAAAGTCCCTATCTGTACCTCCCTTAAAAGTATAATCACAGTTATTTTAAAAGTTGATTCTTCAAGATAAATGCCTGGTGTCACTAGTACAGAGTCCCTGTGGGATGCTTTATAAAGTTACTGGCAACCTGTCTGCTGCATTTCTTACATGCAGGTGTTTCAGCCTGGAGACTTTCAATGACAATGCAATGAAGACCTCGCAGATTTGCTATACATCACTGTCATTTTTAGTGAACTGTGATGCTAAAATGAAATGGCACCAAAAAGATGGTGGAACTCTTCTTGTACAACTTTTACTCATGTTAGTGAGCACTCACATAGGTAACCTTACTGGAGTTAATGGGGCTCCTGACAACATGACTCACCAGCAAGAGAGATGGTTCCAAAAGGAAGGAAAGCAATGGATTCAGCACTGGAAAGTAAATAAATTCCTAGCCAGACTTATAAGCACTAGAGTCAAGTTTAAATTCACAAGTGTCTCAGGTTTTTTTTCAGACAACTTGTGTCTGATCAGTGATTGGAAATTTTATTCAGTTTTCCTCATTTAGGTGAAAAGCTAAGGTAGTTTTAATGGAGTAAAAGGTGCAAATAAAGAGTATAGCCTTCCGGTAATCTCAGCTTCCAAATACATTCCCCAAAGGAATACACTAGTTGTAACGTTCTAAGATTTTACAGAAATCATTTGTCAAAAGATTTACAGATCACTAGCATGTTACTATCACCACTTTAGAAAGTCTCTTTCCTTAACTACGTGCAGTAATTCCAAAGTGATGTTTGGTAACTCCATTCAGGACAAGAATAACTCATAACAGGGGCTTTCAAAGATTCAGCAGTGGAAAAAAATGTAAATTATCTCATTTTTAAATTCCAATTCTTTCTGCTTCAGAATTAATGAAAGGAACATCAATAACTCCCCCCCACAAAAGCACTGTGGTGCTGGAGGAAGCTTCCAGCAGTGCAGTGAGAGCAAGCAGCCTACACCGTTGTAGCATAGAAATTGTTTAGCCACAGACTAAATGATGTACTTGCATGCAATTCTAGGGAACCACATGCGATTAATAAGGTGGCCCATTTCCTCCTGTCTTCCTAAATGAATAAAGTTTTCCACTGCCTGGCACTCTGCATCACCATTTATATTTATGCAAAATGAATGCAAGATACTATCAGTCTAGAGCAACAGGTTCTATCAACCATGTTAGATTCATTTTGCACAGGGCTGGACAGTAACAGACAGGGCAGAGCATCTCATAACCAAGAATAGTAGTGTCCTGAAAATGTCACCATTTTAACGTCAGAACGCATATATAGTTCTTGTCAAGCGTATCTCTAAAATTAGAAATTGAAGTAGTGTCCTTCCCCACTTCTCTGGGTCTTGAAGGCAGGAACTTTTCTGCAGTCTTTAAAAAGATTTTTTTTTTCTTTAAAAAAATTTCAACAACAGGAGAAAAACAAAGCTTTGGTGCATACTCCTTTGATCAAGCACAGGCTCCATTGTGCTAAGCAGAGTAAACTTTTCATGAAGCTGGAGTCAAAATGCAAATAAACTGCATTTTCAGAGATGAAGATACTAGCCTGTACATAATGTTCAGACACGGAGTCTAAGCAGACCTTGCATCAGCATGTCTTTTATAAGATAAGGAAAGCCAGGTCCGTGGGCATACCAGAAGTTTGTTGTGTCTACAGAACTAATTCAGTAAGAGTATCCTGCAGCAATGTTGTTTGCAAGATGCAAAGACATCTATCTTAGGTGAAGATATGACTACTGTTAGTAGACTAACACAGATCCTCACTAGCTTTCTAATGAAGGGGACAGGACTACTATTATTTCTGCTTCATTCAGGTGCATGGCTTCAACATAGGCATGAAAAACGAGCCTGAAGGCTCACAACTGGTTTACAGCAGAGAGAGAAGAGAACCTAGATTTCTCCAAGTCTGGGCAATCAGTTATATCACTGATTACATTTTTTTAATGTAAGGAGGATAACAGAGAGACATCTTAAAGAGAAAGTCACACTTTGCGTGCCAAACTGAGATTAAAATAACCAAATAAAAAAAAGAAATTGTTCTCTGCCCCTAGAGATTTGAGTTTATCTACCTTCTGATTCTCATTTGCATGAAATTTAACTGGAGGTATAGCCTCTAGGCTATAGGCTCCAAGACTCTAGCAACTCTAGCAAGAAAAAAAAAAATCACCTAAAGTAACAACTGAAATTCTGAAACACTTGGAGCACGCGGAAGAGCCCAACTGAGACAACAACATATTGGTGCTATGAAAACAAACAAAATGGCCTCAATCTAACCAGTGTTATCACCAAACGGATGGAAAACCTCACAGAGCTAGAGATACCAACCAGTTATTTCTTATTTGAAACATATGAACTTTGAAATACATCAGTTGCCAAAAAATAATAGCTTCAGGAAAAAGGTGACACTTTAATACTAACCATTGATTCTAGAGTATTTTCAAACAGTTAGGTGAACTAATTGAGCAAATTGGACCCTAACTTTCAGAACCCAAGAGGAATTTACTAAACAATCAAGAATTTACTCAACACTTACAACCACCTAAAAAAGGCCACTTGTAATCCAGGAGTAACACATTGGTGCCATGTGGATGGTTTTCAAGTCCATCACATGAACATCACTTTTACAATAAAATGTCATTTTCAGCAAAATAGTGATCTTATAAGCAATATACTGAAATGGTCTTATATAGCTGAACTTTCAAATATCCCCCCCAAAATTTAGGGAAATTTCTGGCAGGTTGAAAGTAATTTGTCTACTTAAATGACAATTTTCAGACCCGACTTACTTCTTTGTAGCCGAAAATGATACGCCCATCATTGAGAAGGGTGGCCTGAAAAGTGAAACTGCCCAGGTTGTAATTATCCTGCAGATGTACATGGTCCCACTGGACAACTAGTGCTGTGCCTGTGAACCCCAGAGTGGGGGTAGAGAGGCAAAGGGAAGAAAAAAATGTGAGAAAAATATTAACTGACTATAGAAAAAGTACTTAACTGCAGTTACTTGAAACAAGAACAGTGCTTTGTCTCTTTTCAGCAACTTTCAGCCCAGCATCTTGAAATGATAAAGATATTACAAACACAAGTTGCAACTGAAATCCTCTTACCGGTAGACACCACAGTGCCACAAATAACTACCTCAACTACTCACACAGAAGTGTGCTAAAGTGAGTGGTCAAGTAACTCGTCTGGAATTGCACAAGGAGTCAACAATCACTAAAGATACGATCCAGCACTGGGAGTTCAGGTGTGCTCCCACAACCACTGCTCTGCAGTGGCTTTTTTTACACACTATATATATACCCTAATGACTTTGAAATTTGAAGGGCTAATAGCATTGCCTGTTTAGCAGAAGTTATTATTTGAGGAATTCAGATGCTTCCATTAACTATGCATTAATATAAATAGCATTAATTTTTTTTTGCCTGGTGCAAGCCCTTGCTGAGGTTCTGCAAGTTGAAAAATATTAGGTGCTGGCAATAAATAAACATAGTTTAAATTAAAACCACTAAGGGTCCATATACAGGGTAAGTATTGAGTCTGGTGTGCAGAGATTTAGTTGCAAGAGGCTTGTTAATATTCATGGGAGTTCTCTGTCTGAATATCCACTTATCGCACTAAAAATGTACCCCAAGAAACTTGCATCCCTGTGAGCATGTTTTACAGACGTTGAGGGTTATATTCAGGCACCTTGGCTGAAAGACACTTATCACCAAAACTGTGCTTGCTGAAAATGACTTTTTGTCTTTATATGCCTTCCTCAGCATACTTCTCTCTTTGGCACTAATGGGAGTTATCTGCTTTCATTCACGACACTTTTATCTCTTTTCATCCTGGAGTGTTCAAGGTGGGTCAGTATGCATCCAGCTCAATGCATTTTTGATATATCCTTGAAACACCTTTTGTCACAGATCTTCTGTGCTGTAAATTCCATGAACACACCTTGTTAGGGGATGTCATTAAACTATGAGCATGCAAGTTTTTGGTACATACTGTGCTAAGTCCACCACATTATTGTCCCATGTGTCTTTCATAAGCACAGTACATGTTCATTAATTGTGCACACAGTGCATCTTTCCTTCTGTGACCATAGTCATTAATTGCTTTCTGAATATTTATTTGATTGTATTAAATTTCATTATAAAGGAATTTAAAGGGACTTTTAAAATCGTTGGAGTGAAAATAGCCAGAACTTCTTATAGTCAGTCTTTGAGTACCTCAGATCTATGTGCATCTCAGAATCCCAAGCTAAAGTGGAATTCAGCTGCCTCCAGAACAGTTGTTTCATTCCCAGGGCCTTTATGTAGATTCATGTGTAAATAAGTTCCTTGCAGTTAGCTCCATGAGTGAGACTTCGATGGGTCACCATGCTTGCCCACTACAGATGCCACTCTAAAGCAGCACACTTACAGGGATAAAACATGCATGAATAAGAAATATGGAGCTGAAGATACAATTTGCTCAGTTCATTTTTATTTGGAGTAAGATAGCAAATTCTTTGTCTTAAAGCACATGGGGTCCAAAAGAGCATCATGCCTTACACATGAAGAGGGATCCAAAATCTCAAAGTAGTATTCAACCTTGTCATGAAAGCCATGTGATACAGCTTGATACACCTGGTATGGAGAATGGAATTTAGGAATACAATGAGAACTAGCAATGTCTTCCCCAGAATCCTCAGATTCTTTCAGTAGAGATGACAGATCTCAGGCCATAATGTCAAATAATTTATGAAATGAAAAGAATATTTTTTCTGTTTGAAAATTCTCCATTCAAGGAGTAGGATTTTCTTATGTAAGTCTATTTTATTGGATTTTTAACAAACAAATGCTGCAAGTAATGACTATATTGAAAGGAAAGCTTATGACTAGGTGCAAAGGTGATAGGATACATTTTGATCCCTGATCTAAAGAATAAAAATTAACACACCTGGTTGGAAATGTGACATATTTTTGGACATGTTCATAATTTGTGCTTATATTAACTATGAATAAACATACATAGAATGGCACAGGCTTATCCTGGAAGATTTAAAACAATTATAGATCTCATGATATTAAGTCATGATACTAAACTCTGTAAGTTTTAAATTCAGAATAGACAGTCACTATCATTGAATTTGATCGCTAAAGGCCTGAGGTAAGGCACCAGATGCCTTTTAATCACATAGGTTATGTTTTCAAAATATTGATTGTAACCAACTTCATGAGACAAATATCCACACTGTCAAGGCCTGTGAAATATCTCACAGAGCTTCAAGTATAACACTGCAGTTTGCCTTTTAACCTTTCAGTCTTTTGTATGAGGGACTGTTGAGAACTCATGGCGTAGATGGGTGTATTGGATTCCAGTCCTGGGACTCCAGGCACACTTAGTCATCAACAGGTTTTTAAACTTATACCTGCCCTGCTTCTGTGTATTCTTGCTATTGCATTCCACAAATACTATTTTCATTTTAGCTAGTGGGTTTTTTGAAGTAACAGGAACTTGCGCTTTTATACAAGACAGATTTTTGCTTTTAAAATTGATAAAATACATTTCTAGTTTGAGTTTATGTACTTTAGCATCCAGAAGATATCTGTCCAATTAGGAAAAAGCATTCAGGACTCTTTAACAGAATTCTAAGTTAAGAACTGTTTATGGACATCTAACCACATGCTTTATACAGCTTGTGAGTTAAAAAAAAAAAAAAAAAAAAATCTTCAATTTTCCTTCAAAAATAGTTATTTAGGAAAATATGAAGAGCCAAGGGACACAGACACATTCATTTATGAAGGACTACTACATACCATTATCAAAGTATCTGACTGTTGAATTTCTTGACACACTGGGGTCAAAATTTGCCATTAAGGGTGCAATATATTGTGTAGCTGTTAGCATTCGATGCACAACTTCTCCAGTATAAATGAAACCTACAATAAAAAAAAAAAAAAAATTGAGACCATTTCAGTAACTTATGAAGGGATTTAATAGAATGGCAGGTTGAACTAGGCATTGCCAGAGCATTAAAGGGTCATTTGAGAGAAATTAATCCCACCACCAATTTTATGGTGAATTAAGTAAGAGCTAAAATATCAGGAAAATATCTGTGATGGCTGCCAAAAGAACAAGATCCAAGATAAACAGTGGAACAATTAGTTCAAGAAGCAAGTTTTCATACAGAAATAAAACCAGAGCAAACTCAGGGAAAAATAACTCCAGTTATGGACAAAATGCAGATATGCGGCTTTATCAAAATGAGCGATTTACCACCATGCATATTCCATAGTGCTTTCTATCCCTTCCAAAACTGCACAATTTGTTTTGCTTTTGCAAATTGTTACCTCTTCAAAAGTTAGTCTAACCCTTTTTCAGATTTCTAGAGACACACAGTAAGAGATTATTTCAGACAAGAAAAGGTGACAACCTTAAAAAAAAAAAAAAAGTCAGCTGAAGAGTAGAACGGATAGGATTTTTTCATGATTATAAGCCAAGCAGCATTTCTGCTACATTCTCTGCAGTGTCAAGTCTCACTAGTTTATCCTATTCATCCCTGAATCTGCAGTACTCCTCAGATCAATAGTGGGCTTCATTCATCAGAAGTGCTCACCCAAAACCTCTTACTGGTTTGGAACTGGAGTTCTTCCTTCAAGGAAGAACAGTGATCTACAGCGAAAACAGTTATGCTGCAGTTATCTTCAAAGCAAAACTTCGTATATTTTAATAGCAGGAAACTCCTGCCATTTTAAACAATAAATGGTCTACAAATAAACCTGTATTGCTTAGGTTTGCCAACTACACTTCAACTGACTAATGGGACTAACTTTTTTTAAATGCCCTGACCTAAAGCCTGACTTAAAAACTCCCATTGCCCTAGAGTGAGCCTTTTCTTAAGTTTTATTTTAGCCTTTGCCTTGCTGGTCAAAACTGGCAAACTTTAAGCTGATTGGAGTTACAGGTAGATCTTCAAAACTAAGATTTGCACACTACCTCTCCTCTTAAAGTGCTTACCAGATGGTGCCTTATGCTGAAGCGTTTGCTTTTTCTCCTTCTATTGATTTAATGAAGTATATTCCAATAGCAAACATCCCAATAACAACAAGAATATTAGAGTTGTCTGAAAATTTTCTATCAGAAAAAAATTCCATTTGGAAAACGTCTCACAGAAATTCAATTCTTTACTGGCAAATGATAGTATCCACTGGAACAGTATTTATGCTCTCTTCCTCCACAATCCCTTTAACCGTCAAGCCCAACACACCCTTTCTTGTCACTTTTAGTGTCATTGCAATACAACATATGATGAAGGAGCATATAAATCTATCCCTAAAACACAATTGTGAAATTCCAGAACTAAACACAAACCTGAACAACTGGAATTATCCTGAAGGTAGAAATAACATTTTCCAGCCAACTCCAGTTAATATATGGTATTAAAAAACTATTAGTGTGCAACCTCGCTTTCTTAATGATAGTATTTCCATCCTAACCACTGTGAGACGACACAGGTTTGTTAAAAGGCTTGTTTGTTATGATATAGGAAATCTCTGAGAGCATGCAAAAAATAGAAAGTTTCTGGAATGCTTTAGGCATCCTTCTACTCCTGTCTTCTCCTGAAACATGTTTGTAAATCCTTGCTAACTGTTCACAGAACTAGTTCTAGAAATCATAAGATGCTATAAACAAACAAACAAAAAAGGTGGTTCTTTGGAATAATTTTCTTGCATGGCTGTTAGCAGTGAAGATTAAGTACCATGAAGTCAACTCAAGTGGAGGCAACAGGAGACCTAAGAAAAAGCCAGCTGTGGAAAAATACAATAAAAGATTCAGTTGGAAACATTTGGCATTGGCAAAGGGGTGAGCTAAGAACCTAGCTGCCTTTGCTTTAAAAGACACCTATGTATTCAAACAATACAGTATTTTAATATCTGGACACCTCCTAACTACTAATTAATTCTTAGGACTAAACTACTAAACGTCTTTTTGGGGGACGGGATGGGACACAGAGATTCTTTCAGTTAAATATCTAAATACCACTTTTCTCTTTTGCTAATTAATAGGAAGAAAGAAACACCAATTAAAAAAAATCTGCCCACGCATACTTACAAGTCATTTATAAACCTAAACTTGCGGAATATACAACTGTGGCTGTAATTTTACTCTATTAGTCATCATTTTAGGATAGCCAACAGTCCTGCCAAAGTATAGTCCCTGAAATGCATTTTCATTATTTCCTGTTTATTGCTGTCTGCTTCTAAAATGTCATTCCCTTGAGAAGTATTCTATCATGCTTATTTAGATATTTTAAACACATATCATTTCACAGAATATTTGTGCTTCTTATTATCCCTATGGCCATGTGCACGCATATTTTAACACAGTCTTGGGTAGGTCTATAACCTTGAAACCATTTGAAGACAATATAAACAAAACCTTTGAATCCATATTCATGTATTACAATTAACCTTAATACTTCAGTATTTATTAATCCCTTGCACAATGGTCCTATCCTTACACACAGTTTTCCTTTCATGCTTTCATCCCATTTATAGTATAAATGTCACCATTATAACTAATAATGAGGCAGATACAATAGGAAAAGAAAGGACTCAATTGTGCTGGAACACATAACTAAGTAAATCGACCCAGGTAATTAGTAACCACAAAGCGTATTTCCAAGTGTTTGCCGGATGCAGCTTTACTTTAGACAAAAATGGAAAGCAGGAGGTGGATGATAGCTGGGAAGCAGGCAGGCCTTGCATAAAGATCATTCTAATGAGAACTCCAGTCATGCATTGGAACAACTTGAAAAGAAACACAAAGTCATTTCAAATCATCCCAGAGATTCAAAGGCTGAAGCCACTGTTGAGCATGGACATTTTACCATTGCCACTACAACTTAAAGAAAGCAGCAAATGTAAAATTAACTTATTCTTGAATTCTGCAGAATTCCACAGAAAATTGGCTTATAGTATCTGTGACCTAATTTTCTGACAGTGGTAAATGCCCATGGTTGATTCATTTAGTCAAGGAAGAATTTTTCAGACCTGCAATTTCCTGAACCACTTAATCTCTCCTTTGTGGGAGGCGTTGGTAGAGCTCTTTTCCAAACTCTCCACAAATACTATACCTAGAAGCATAATATGCTCCTAAATGCTGGAATGAAGACAAATAGGAAACAGTGCTCAGCATTTTGTAAGTTTTTTTATGTATACATAAATCTAACTAAAACTAAGCATGAACTAACTAAAGCCACTTGTAAATCAAGGAAGGTATATTCCTAGTCCTCAGAGTGTACAAATGCACACTCAGACAGAGGGGAAAACTATATACATATATATATATAACCACTTAAATATGAAAGCACACTTCCACTTGATGCAGGACCCTGACTTGATTTAAAAGTGCATTTTACATCTGAATTTATCCATTCTAAAATATGTTCCCTATCTGTTGTATTTTAACATGTTAGATTTATATATAAGATTTCACACACAAGATTACAACAATCTGCACATAAGTTTTCTTGTGGTTTCTTTTTTCTACTCCTAGCTGCGCACAAACTCACTACCACTTAGAAGGTTTTTCGACAATGTTTGCCAAGTGTGCAGAGTAACAGAATACAGGATCAAAGCAGCACAGGCAGTGAGTCCTTTGAAGGTGCTATTGTGCATCTATAAAGATATGATAGGATATGGGATATGCAGGCAACACACAAATGGAACATCTAGGTTAATAACTAACTTCTCCCTTCTAAGACCCTGCATGAACAAGTTACATAAACCTCAGCCTGATTTTATATAGGTGACATTATGATAAACTGGTTTTGCACTTTAGCATTTAGATGAATTAGAACAAAAACCACCTTAGATTATAATTTCAAGTGTGATTTCTTTTTAAATGTCTGAAACTGGTCATATCTTAAAAGCATCATACTGAATACAGGGTATAAATGAATTATACTTCTATGTGCTTGTGAAAAGTAGGCTCCATTTTGAGAATGTATATTTTAGATGCTCAGTAATTCTTCAAAGCTATTATGACAGTTCAGTCTTTACCTATGTAGTGGGTTGACATTTGCTAGCTGCCACACACCCACCCAGCTGGTCTCTCACTCTCCTTCCTCAACAGGACAGGGGAACAAAATAAGATGAAAAAACTTGTGGGTCTAGATGTAGACAGGAAGAACACTTGCCAAGTACTGTCATAGGCAAAACAGAATTGACTTGAGGGAAATTAATTTAATTTATTGCCATATAAAATAGGTTTGGATAGTGAGAAATAAAGACAAATTAAAATAACACCTTCCCCCCACCCCTCCCTTTTTCCCAGGCTCAATGTCACTCCCTCATTCCTGACCCCTCTAACTCCTCGCCATTGAGCAGTGCAGGGGGTTGTGGGTTGCAGTCAGTTCATAACACTTCATCTCTGTCACTCCTTCCTCTTCACATTTTTTCCCTGCTCCAGTGTAGGAGCTCCCCACAGGTTGTAGTCCTTCAGGATAAACTTTCAGGATTCCAGCATGGGTCCTCCACAGGCCACGGTTCCTTCAGGACATTTCCACATTTTCAGTGTGGGGTCCTCCACAGGCTCCAGGGAAATACCTGCTCCAGCCTGGTCTCCTCCACAGATGCTTCGGTGCCTGGGCAACCTCTTCCTCCTCTTTCTCTCCCCTTGGTGTTCAACAGGGTTGTTTCTCATGTTTTTTCCCTCACTCTTGACACTGCTGTGCAACATTTTTTACCCCTTCTTAAACATGTTTTCCCAGAGGTGCCACCAGTTTGGCTGATAGGCTCAGCTGTGTTCTGCAGTGGGTCCATTGGAGCCAGCTGGATCCATCTCTGACGTGGGGCAGCTCCTCACCTCCTTCTATAGAGGCAGCCACCCCACTACCAAAACCTTGCCACAGACCCCTAACACAACCTAAGACTTA